AGTCGTCGACGATTTTGATAGTCGACTAATCGTGGCAGCCCTAGATACCAGAGGATCAAGTGTGGCCAATCTGCTGCTGTCCACCTACAATTTACCTGCTTACATTCAGAGATCAGCCAGAACTTCATAGATTTGGCACAGAAACAAACCTTCCTCACATGGTGACATAGTTGCTGCAGGAAACAATCTGACTGCAGAATAACACAAGCACCTGGCAACCATGTTTGTACAGGACTATATCCAGAATGCAACCAGCGACTGAGTCCAGTCTCCTACTGCAAACAGACACTTTGCCAATGACTCACACTCATCAGCACTGATTGACTCGGGCTGATTTCACCATGTTGGCAACCTGTCTGTCTGCTAAAACCTTCTGTCTGACAGTGACGACGGTCAGTCTGAAGGCTGGTGGTCCTCCCACCAGGTGAGCTGTGCAATCAGCTTGTGGTCACACAAGCTGCAGGTGTTGCACGCTCAGCCTCTGGGAAACCAGCTGGTTGCTCACAATCAGCCGCTCAGTGTGAAAAAATCCAGTTTAATCACTGGGTAACAAGTTAGGAGGAGGCTGCTGTCCTGTTTTACTCTACTGGCACTGAGTCAATAAATAATGGTTAAAACATAAATAGCCGACCATCATCATCATCATCATCACACTGAGCACAGACCTCGTGCATGTTTTTATTATGAACAGTCTCCTCTGTCCTCGTGTCTGCAGCTGCTTATAGGGTTTGAGAGCGGGACGATCGTGCAGTGGGACCTCCGGGGCAAGAAGGCTGACTTCAGGATCTACTACGATGAGGTGAGTTTGATAGGTGAAGCCTTTCTGTCTGCCCTCTTTCTACGTCTGCTGTGGCCTCTGTGTTTGTTTGTTTAATAATCAAACTGTAGTTTCATTTTAGCTGTCTCTGTGCGGATGCCTGATTATAGCAGCAGGAGGCAGGATATGTACAAGAATCTGGCAAAATTGAGAGGAATGAAGAACAAATTGCTTTAAAAACAAATTGGAAATGAGTCCCAGAGGGGGGTGCACGAGTGGGAACGTTCAGCTTGTTTATGACATCAAAGCCCTGCAGAGACATGTCGAGTTTTCTTTTTTACATACAGACCTGAATAAAAACATGTGACACTGAAGTGTTACAGGTTCTTCAGGTGAAACAGGAAGTGCTTCAACATTGACTCTCAGCGCTCTCTTCAAGTTACCCTCAAGTTTTCATCTCAGAGCGGCAGCAACTTTTCTCATTTTTAACAAGGTGTTTGTTATGAAAAGCTGCCTGCCAAACCAATTACTGCTCTTTGAAGAAGCAGTCATTAGAGGACCCGGGAACGCTTACGCCGGTCCAGGCAGCCTCGGGCAGCTTGCACAGCACTGTCAGCTGGAACAGACGACAACGCTGGCACCCAGAGACCAGCAGAGCGTAAACGCGTCATGTCAGACAGGTGTGTTAGGTTACACGGTCTGTACTCAGCCAAAGGTGCTGCAGCTTTCAGCATCCAGGGAGAAAACGTTTCATCACAGTGCACGCTGAAAAGTTACACACAAAACTATATTTTCATGTAATATTCAAACGTCTTTCATTAACAGGTCATTAACTCGTGTGTCTTCAAACATACGCACCATCAGCACATCTGCTGCCACCTCTTACGTCCTCCTTCTCCTGTGAACAGTAACACTCACGCTCATGAGCTTCCTTTGTGGATCTGAATGTGATTTAAAGGACAAAGAAAAGTACGAACTTTAAGCTGTCAGCTCTTCATAAATAATACTGACATTTGGTTTTGCTCTGTATTTACACCCAGTCCTACTGCGCCTCCGTGTCTCTGTGGTTAAATGCACTTTTTCTTCTATAACACTTCATAAACTCCTATCTGGTGTGAAAGGACCTGCTATCGATCTCCATCGCTGGCTGCCTTTTCTAAAGCCTCGTTCCAGCATCGAGTCGCTGAAAGGTTATTATAGATGTTTCTCCGTCTGATGACGAGGGGAAAAACGCAGCCTACCCCCGGCTTTAAGCATTTTCTGCTGCCATCTGAGAAAATTCAGTTTACTGTGATTACCACAATAACGACCACGTTAGGACTGATGAGTGCACGGCTCTAACAAAAGCCTCCTGAATAAGCTCGCTCAGCTTCAGTGTGCGAAAGAGAAAAGGTTAATTTGGAACAATGTCAGGCCAAACATCTGCGGGATTATCCAGACTGTTTTTCTGCTGCTGACGGGGCCGTGACCTCTGTGGCTTTGACATGAATAACTGTGAATAATGTTTTTAAGAAGCCAAAGATTACCCAGCGAGGTCTTCTGAAGAACAGCGGCAGACGTGCTGAGCGCAGAGCGATACCAGGAAAACGACTTTGCTGTTTTGGCTTGCGTGACGTTTTTTACCTGTACAGCTAAGGTGTGGTAGCTGTGGCATCACTGAGTAGAATCACATACGTATCACCGTGTGTCGCATGCTGCAGAAGCGTTTTTGCTCTTCTGTGTGGACACCAAAGCTGTCAGATGAACATCATTGTTGTGTTTTTAATAGGCGTGTGTTTGATAGAGCTCCACGGGGAAAATGTGGTCTGCCTTTGTATGAAACAATCTTGTCAGTTGTATTTTTCTCCATTGTATTTGGACAAAAGTGTCAATTACCATCCGCAGAGAGAAGCACTTTGTTATGTGCTCACCAGTTTTGAAGGATTATTATCTTCGTCCTTTGTCTCATATTTCATTTGAAGCGTAGCAGGGCACTGACACTACGTGAGGACGGATTCAACAACGATACCAACGAGGTTTTATTCCAGATCTGGCCTAAAGCTAAATGCTGTAAGAATCAGTGTCGTGTGTCATCACGTTTCACTTCTGAATCGGCTCAATTTCTCCTGTGTGCAGTTTCGGTTTGGCTGTTTGGTAGGTTGTTACAGTTCATTTGAACTTGCTTCAGTTCTTCGGTGGACTTTGGTCTCAGCCGCTCGCCGAGCTTGGCGTCGTGTGGGGTCTGCTGCAGGACTCCTGGTTCCTCTTCCCCAATCAGGCTTCTTTCTCATGGCACTGCATGACACAATGATTCACTTGAAGTGCTTTATGACTTTGAGAGAAACACTGACTCTGTGTGATCGGTGCAGGCCATCCACTCTGTCAGCTGGCATCACGAAGGGAAGCAGTTCATGTGCAGTCACTCGGACGGCAGCCTGACGCTGTGGAACCTCAGAAACACCACCAAGCCATTCCAGGTCACCTTCCCTCACGGTGAGACACACACACTCTCATAATCCCAGAGACAAATCCTGGGTCTATACTCTTTGTATAGATCTGAATATCATAGACCGTAAACAAACCTCTGTGGACCATATGCTGTCATCTGATTTGCCGAGCAGCTCGTGGTTATGTCTTTGCTTTTCTCAGTGTAACCAGCCACCGTTCAGTCTCATTCACCAACATTCATGTTCGGTTACCTGCACATTTAGGGTAGACTGTGCTGTATCCAGCAGTGATTGTCGTATGTGCGGTGTTTCGCTGCTGCTTCGTTTTGATTTCCACACTCGGTGAAATCTGCCTCCTCTTCTGCCGTGTCTCCCTACGGCTTCCTCTCATGCAGGGCCGACCGAACTCGTCAGATTTGTGTTTTCTTGCTGTGAGCTGTAATCTCAGGCAAAATCACAAAGCAAAAAGCAGGCAGGATGTGGCTGACGGGGAGGGGGGCGCAGCTGAATTCCAGCAGATCGTTTATTTGTCAGATATTTAGTGTCACTCAGGGCGAAAACGGGAGGAAGAGGAAAGGGAGGCATGAAAATGAGTAGAGGTCAACTAAGAACATAAAGCTGAAGAAGAGTAAACAGTTAAAATGTTATTTGCTGAGAATGATATAGTCGGACGTTTTTAGTTATAAATAAATGAGTTAAAAACTGTGAGGGTTTAAAATTCAGCATTTAAACGGCTCGACTGCAGCACCTCGGGCTTTTAGTAGCAGGCTAGGTGAGGGGAAGGAGTGCTAACTGAGCTAATGCTAGCTAACGTGACTAACATGGTGTGTCCATAGTCTGAGTGTGTGGTAAGCAACAAACTTCACTGAGCTCACAGCAGAGCAGCATCTTAGTTATCAAAGAATTGGATTAAATATACTCCAAAATGCTCCGATATCACAAACATGTCCAGCTGAGTGATTTGAAATAGCTCAAAACTAGCAGAGCGCTATTAGCTTAGTTAGCACCTATCTGTGACCTCTGTAAGGAAACGTACTTTACTTCCAGAAATCAAAACCAGTTTGATTTTATTATGTGTTTGTTTTCCTTCAATATGACAATAAGTTACTAATAATTTGTAATGCATTACTTATTACTTGTTACTTTCCTTAGAGGTAATGGAGTATGTTACTTAATTACCCATCAGAGAACTTGTTACTTTCATGTTAATATGACCTGAAATTCATTATCTCATAATTATCAATTAACTCTGTAAACCCAAGGCTACGTTCCCACACACTGACACAAATTCCTAATGAGGACACGTCTTTCTTTTAGGTTTTGCATTTGAACACAAACTGACAACAAAGAAAGTTAAAAAGCAGCCGCTGGCTTCTTCTAGGCTAGATTAGCATTAGCATGCTGCCTATGCAGATCCATACAAAGACTCTGAATGACTCTGATTCAGTATTTAGTTTGAACATCTTTTAAATGTCAGAATCGACTTCTGGTAGAGAATTATGGATGTTTGTCTTCTTCCAAGCATGAAACTGCTGTTCATGTCTGAACCTGAACATGTCACACTGCCCCTCTAACACTCCAGGCTAACCTCTGCATACCTGTTATCACTCGCCATTGTTCCCTCTGTCACACAGCTGAGTCGACTTCGTCACAGTCAGGCAAAAATCCATCATCTTGTTATTTATTTATAAAATTTACTGCTGTAGCTGCCAAATATGCTCACAAATTTTAGCTTATTTAAATTAGCGATTAGCACAGTGCTGTAAATACTTAACCACAGATGTTACGCGTGTGTTTGGCTTTCCATCATTTACTTACCTGCTGAGCTGTTGCTTGATGCAGAGCTCGGTGACGACTGGGGCTTTCTTTGCCTTTTGTGTTTCTCAGCTACAATCGTGTCAGTGACATGTAGGTAATGAGCATTGTACCTGGATAGGTGAGCATAGTTCAGAAACCATCCGTCCATTTTCTTAACGGTGTATCCAATTAAAGGAGCCGGTCTCAGCAGGCCAGGGCTGTTGCAGTGCACCATTAACCAGAAGTTTTAGTTTTTTGGCCAGCGTAGTGTTTTAACTAAACTATCAGAAGTTTCTCACTTTTTACAGCCAACACTTTGTCTGTTTTAAGCACAATTTCCTGTACATAAGGGCACCAAAATGACCTTTTTATAGCCACTTTTCATAATGATGATGTGAAGAAATCTGCGACAGGACGAGTTGTTCTCAGAGAATCCAGGTACACTTAAAATGATTCCTTTTATTGTGTTCAATAAAAGATGCTGCAGCAGAGCTCCAACAGTTTAGAAATGATGTTTCTTTCATTTGTTCAGAAAGTGCTGAGCCTTTGTTGAAAGGTAGGTTTCACTGCCTCCAAGCTAGGAGACCTTCTCTTCAAAGATGTTAATATGAGAAGCATGAATTACTCCCTTTAATACGCTAACTTTGATAATGGACTGTCATTCAGTGAAGAGAGGACCTGGAAACACAGCAAACACACAAAACTCCAGTTGGAAATGAGACTAAATTTGATCCTTCAAGGGGGTTCCTGTGGCGCACTATGTCCTGATTGTGCTCACATTGTGTAACATTATGAACACAGTGTAGAGCCGTGCATTGGTCACTTTGACAAAGCAGCAGGTAGCAACTCCAAATAGCTTAAAAGAGGGAAAAACATGAACGTAACAACAGGTGAACAACAGCTTTTCTTCTTACATCTTCTCATCTTATTATGAAACTATAATTTAATCTGTACATGTTGCTCTTCCTTTGCTTTTCCTCTGATGCAGGAAAGATACAGAAGGATGCGAGGAAGGAGTCGTGCAAACCTATTCTCAAAGTGGAATACAAGACCTGCAGGAACAGGTGCGTGTGTCTTAAACATTTCATTTCCTGATTGCACAGACGTAGCGCCGCATTTTTTTTTATTGATATTAACCTCTGAGATGAGATTTAAAGATTTCTTTTGAGTCCTCACAGGAACAAACAACCGTTGTGTATGCGTCACTTATTTCATCGATCACTGGCGTTTAATTCGATTTGAAACAAGAGCGTGTTTCATTTTACTTGTTACTCATTCTTTCTTTCTGCTTTGTCGAGGTGAGCATCTCTAAATCCCTTCTCTTCCTTCACAACAGTGAGCCTTTTGTTATCTTCTCTGGGGGTCTTTCATATGACAAGGCGGGACGACGGCCGGCACTGACGATCATGCACGGCAAGGCCATCACTGTGCTGGAGATGGATTACCCCATAGTAGAGTTCATGGTGCTGTGCGAGACTCCTTACAACAACGGTAAGGGCGTACCGATTCAATTATAAGAGCTGTGTCCCTTTTTGTGGTCTCGCTTCAGTGAGTTTGAAGCCTTTCAGAGAAATGTGGTTTTCAGCCACGGGGGGTTTTTTCACCCGCTCGGTGCCATCGGCTTCTCCTGTAATCCTGTCATAATGTGGAAATCACAAGAGCACGCTTCCTTAAAACTCACCAAGTGTTACCACCGACTGACGTTGAGTCATTTTTATATGAATTTCAGCTGATTTTAAATTTGCATCCCTCCTTGATGTTGTCGTGGTAACTAGCATTACCTCTCCATCTTTCTGTTTGCATTCGGCCTTCACAGAGGTCCAGGAGCCTTACGCTGTGGTCGTGCTTCTGGAGAAAGACTTAATCGTGGTGGATCTAACACAGAGCAAGTACGTCACTGTGAATCATACAGTTAGACATCATATATCAGAATCACACCATCGCGTGTGCAAGAATATCACTCAGAGAGTGAAACTGTTCTTACATTCAGCAACAAAGTGAAAGCAGCTGTAGTTCAGAGAGATATCAGCATATAATGCTGTATGACCATAAGCATATGTGGACTATCCTAATTTCAGGACTTTTGTGGATTAATTGTATCGATCTATCAGAAAGTTGCTCTCAGCAGCTCAGTGTCTTGAAGGGAAACAGTTCAGTGCTTTTGTTGTGATTTCAGAGGTCTGATAAGATCCTGTGTAAAAACTGCCAAAGATGTTATCCTTTGAACAAGCACAGCTCAATGTTCTGTGGGTAGATTTAACTCGCTATCATTGTTATAAAAGATTGAAGCTGGACGCGGCGATGATGTCCTGACAGATTAACACCCAAGGCTAGGCTAGGCATACATTTGAGGAGTAGCAAAACGCTCGGGTATAAATGAAGTTTCCTGGTTAATTAGGTTAGCTAATTACAGCTGTTAGATATAAATGTCTCCTGATAACACCTAAAGTAGTTTAAACATGTCCAGATTGTCTTTGAGCTCATTGATTAGGAGCTAATTGTGTTTAAATTGTTCATTATAAGTAAATCAGGTTAATTGTATTTAAATGCTTCATTATAAGTAAGGAGTGGCATGAATTTGGAGCTCTGCAGAAACACCCCTCTACATCTTTTAGTGACACTTTAATGTGTGCATAGAAGAACCAGTCGCTCTTATCTTACTGTATCGGCAATAAAGCAGATGAAGCTAGAGTCATTGGCACATTCAATTTTTATTGCTTAGAGAACAGATAAAGAATCCAGACCTTTGAACGTGTCCACTTCCTGTGGGCTCCATGGGAGGACCAACTGGAATTATTCTTTTCGATTAGCTGAGGAATAATTCTGAATAGCTTCATGTTCATAGGTCTACTATATACCACGTTGTGTACTTGCCTGTTGCAGCTACCCCGTCTTTGAGAACCCGTATCCCATGGACATCCATGAGTCACCAGTGACCTGCACGGCCTATTTCGCAGACTGTCCACCAGACATCATCCCCATCCTCTACTCCATAGGAGCGAAACACAAGAAGACTGGCTACAGCCAGAAGGTAAAGGAGGGGAAGAGTACGGCCTTTGCTGTGCAGATCCATGTTGGGAGGATTTTCTTGTGTTACGTAATTCTCGCATACCGTATTTTCAGACCATAAGGTGCATTAAGCGAAACAAAACAGTCAAATAAGTCAAACTTTACTCAGGTCATTCTTGCTTCCTCCACTTCTGTACCATTGATTCATTACTGTTGAATTCTCTGGCAGCGGCTCTATTCCCATGTTGTAGCAGTATATGAATGACTAACCTCGTATTGTGGATGGATTATCTCAGTTGTTCTCCTGACTGAAGTTTGGTCCTTTACAGCATCCTGCCATGCGATTGCATTTGTCCCTAACCATCAGGAACCCTCATGTTAACTTTTATCAAGTGGAAAAAAGTTAGCGTTCATCCTCCAGCTTCACTGTGTTTATGCTATGCTAACATAGCTGTGTCGCTAGCGGTCAAGTAGCACATCATTATATCCCAGCTAGCCCGAATTCAGTAACCCTACAAACGTCACTGCTGTTTAGTTTCCTGTCTTCATTTATGTTGGAAGTGATAACAGAGCTGTACGTTTGAATTTTTCAGAAATCTCTCAGTCAGAACATGCTATATCATGTTTAGCTAACTAGCGAGCTAACTTCCTGCTAACTTCTAACTCCATTAAATGTAATAAATCCTGTTTTCATGGATGCCTGGATGTTAAACTTAATTGTTACACCTGGTAAAGCAGCAACACTGATCATTTCATTAAAGGTTAAAGAATTTAGACAGTTTTTTAACTCTCAGTGATGCTGCAGTGTTCGTTTGACTTTGGGACCTGAAAATGACGGAGTTTAGGACCCAGATTACTCCGTGAGGCTCCTGACTACAGTAGCTGTAATGCTCCAACAATCCATCACGCGGTGGCTTCGTAGCTTAGCAAAGTCGCACTAAAACATTTTTGACAGATTTTTGAGCGCCGTGTAGCACATAAAATCGGTTCAAGGTCAGTGAGCACGTTCAGAATTCATCATTTGAAAAAATTAAAGGATTTTAAGTGCGCCTTATTGTGCGGAAAATACAATGCTAGAACTGATGTATAAATATGTATAGAGTTGTGTGTCTGCGCTTCGGTTCTTTGGTATATCCTGGTCTTTGAAGGGAGTTTTATTCATAATGTGTCATGTAAAATCATCTTTCTAAAATAATTGCTGTTGAACTTTTTAAATTATAGGTAATCATTAGCACACGTATCACTTTTAATCAATTTGGTTTTGTATTTGAGGATGACAGCCTGTGTTTTAGAACAAAAGGAAAAGCGAGGGTACAATGGGACAGAAAGAAAGGGTAATGTGCCAGGTGTTTAAAATAATCAGTGCTGCTGTGATTATTTTGTCAGGAGTGGCCAATCAGTGGAGGGACGTGGACATTAGGCTCCCACACTTATCCAGAGATCATCATCACAGGGTGAGTTAGAAATGCTGACAGGAATACTGATGACCCCTCTTTAACACCACCCGTCACATTTAAAAGGACAGTTGAGCCGTGTCTCACGCCACGGTGACAGAACCACCGACTGTGGGTTTTTCTACATTTATAGCGCTGCGTAGATTTGATTTCTATCTGTGCCAGCCCCAGCAGAGAGCAGGCTCCCTTTGTCAGAGATGTTAACCTGCTCTGAAGCTTGCTCGCTGGGTGGCGTTTGCTTCTGGGTAACACTCACAGATATCAGTGGCAGTCCGGCCCTTTGAGGTCGACGTGGAGACGTTTCACTGCTGAAAGCACAGCGGGAAACACCTAAAAATGCTCAAGTTCTCACGAAGTAGGAACCCAGCTTCACTTTGTAGCTCTGTGAGCCACAAGACGGGTGAGCTGCAGATTCATGAACAGTGTGATGTTTTAAAAATGCAGCGATAAATTTACTGAGGTAATAATCATGAACACGACTAATTAGACTAAAAGTGAGTGGGAAGGTTGGAAGTTTTACTTGTTGTCATTAATTTCATACTAAATACTTTTTTTTTTCAGGCATGCTGACGGATCGATTAAGTTTTGGGACGCATCTGCAAGTAAGTCCTGTGCACCAAGCTTTCCTGCATTCTCATTGCAGCGATGCATTTGTTCCACAGCACAGTTAATCAATCACCTGGGTGATATCATTAATTGCTTAATGACATAATCTAAGAGTTCAGACTAATCATACTCACCCACAGCTAACATACTAGCTTCAGATCAGCTGATCTCAGCGCTTATTCCTCATCACATGATAGATCAGCTGAGAGCATTTTGTACATCTATTTAGCAAAGTTCATATGATATAAACCGATCAGACATAACATCAGACATGGACCATGGAGCAATGGAAAAAGGTGGGTTGGTCTGATGAATCAGATAGGTGGACGGATTATTGTGCGTCGCTTACATGGAGAACCACAGGCGAGCCAACGGGGACAGTTGCTTTGAGCGATGCTCTGCTGGGAAACCTTGGGTCCTGCATCCATGTGGATGTTACTTTGAGACGTACCATCTATCCAAGCATTGTTCCACATCATCTACACCCATGCATGGAGAAGGTGCTCCCCGATGGCTGTGGTCTCTCTCAGCAGGATAATGCACTGAAAACAGAAATGGTTGAGGAACTATTTGAGGAGCACAACAACCAGTTTGAGGAGTTGACTTGACCTCCAGATTCCCCAGATCTCAATCCAGTCGAGCATCTGTGGGACTTTGGTGCAGATACCACAGCACACCTTCAGGGTGTAGTGGAGTCCATGTCCTGACGGCTCAGGGTGAATGGCACAGTATTAGGCAGGTGCTGAAGATGTTGTGGCTGGTTGGGCGACCGTGGCTCAGGGGGTTGGGAATCGCATCTGTAACCGGAAGGTCGCCGGTTCGATCCCTGGGCTCTCTGTCCTGGTCGTTGTGTCCCTGGGCAAGACACTTCACCTACCGCCTACTGGTGTTGGCCAGAGGGGCCGATGGCGCGATATGGCAGCCTCGCTTCTGTCAGTCTGCCCCAGGGCAGCTGTGGCTACAACTGTAGCTGCCTCCACCAGTGTATGAATGCGAGAGTGAATGAATAGTGGTATTGTAAAGCGCTTTGGGTGCCTTGAAAAGCGCTATATAAATCCAATCTATTATTATTCATATTTATTTTAGTAGATGATTGTCAGATGTGCTGCCATTGAAGCCTGCTGTGTTCTGTGTGGTCGTCCCACCACACTGATCCAGACAGAAATGAGTCCAGGTGGAAATAACAGTCGTCTTTTGACTATTTTAGTCGTGACTCAGAGTGTTTGACCTCGGTATGACTCGTACGATCCCCGCCATCTTTGATCAGCACACGCTTCCAGGTTTACTGTGTGCACACGTTTCTACTACTGCAGCTTTATTAAAGGTGCAGCATCTGTTTATGTGCTTTAAATGGAAAATAAATCAGAAGGCTGTGGTGCAAACCAGTCTCCTCTCAGCCAGACACATTACTGGTCTAATGCATTTGTACAGCTGTGCCAATCGCAGCAGTACGGGGTGAAAATGCCTTGCCAAGTGGAGACGAGACATTTGTGCAAAGTGCATAAAATTTAAAAGGTGAAGAATATGAAGATGTAACATGGCAAACTGCATAAAGCTGTCGGGATATCACCAGGTGCACATGGCCGTTTACTTCACGCTTTGCACTGTGCTTTAACTGAGATGTCTCTGTGCAGTCACGCTGCAGATGTTGTACAAGATGAAGACCTCCAAAGTGTTCGAGAAGCCAAAGCCAGGCGAGGGCCGCGCCGCCGAGCTGGTGGAAGAAGACCCGTTTGCTATTCAGATGGTCAGCTGGTGCCCTCAGAGTCGCATGTTCTGCGTGGTCGGCATCTCAGCTCACATCATCCTCTATCGTTTCAGCAAATATGATGCCAACACTCAGATAGTGGTGAGTGCTTAAAGTGGTCAGGTGATGTACGGAGACTGAAGGTGAAGCCCAGTCTTGATGTGACACGTTCCCTGAGTCTCCTCTCATGTTTCAGTCTCTAGAGGTGCGTCTGCAGTGTGACTCGGACGACGTCATCTCTCCATCAGAGAATGAAAACAATCCCAGCTTCTCAGAGCCCAGCTCCCACTCACCCCAACCGCACCATCAACACCAACACCCAGCCAGCCCAGGCAGCAGGACACCAGAGGGCATCAAAGACAGCATCCCCTGCCTCAAGTAAGATAACAGTCCTCCGTCTCTGCAGCACAGTAGACTTCAAGTACAGTCAAGTCAAGAAAAGCACTCTGGTGGTGTATGATGGTCTAATGACTTGCTGAGGCACGTTACAGTGCATGCCAGTGTTGTGTATTTAAGCTCTGCCAGGTGTTTGAGGGTAAATTGGACCGTTACTCCTCATTCCAACATCATTCCTCATTAGCTGTTGATAAAAGCTGCTCATCTGTTTCAGAGTGAAGGACCGGGCGGTTCGGGTTCCTCCTGGCTACCAGTCAGAGTTGGTCATCCAGCTCCTCTGGGTAGATGGTGAACCTCCACAGCAGATCACCAGCCTGGACATCAACTCAGCCTACGGCCTGTGAGTTTCAGAGGCATAACCCTCTGTCCTGAGCAGCTCTGTGTCTGTCTATGAGTCTAAATTAGGAACATTTAGCAAACAGTAGGCTTGTATTATCCATTTCTGTATGTTTGGTCGTCACCAATAAAAACAGCATCAGTGCACAACACAAGCATGGCTGTGAAGTGTGCAGGGAACCAAACCTGCACAGACCGAGGACATTTGACTCTCATTTTCTGAAAAGAGCCAGATTATAAACAGCAACAGTGATGCAGCAGGAGAAGAACATGCATGTGGCAGTAAGAGGGCTCGGCTGTACACAGATGTGTTTATAGTTGCTCTTGGTCTGTGTATATGCGCTTTGTGCAGCATTGAGTTGGTCTTTGCAGTATTTGTACTGTATCATACTGTGAGGCTGGCGGGAGGATGTAAATATGATAATGGGCCATGTGTGAGCTTTGTAATTTTGCTGTTACTGCCAGCAGTTAATGTAACGTGACCAAATTATTTCAATGTGTTCTCGAGCTTTCTTGACAAATGTAACACCTGCGAGCCAAGCTGAGAAAAACACCATATGTCCTGTGACCGTAGCCATAACAGCGGATAGAGCACGCAGTGACGAGCGGCAACAAACACGAGCACATCGTCTTCTTCTACCTGCTTTTGTTATTTTAAAGTAACTTACTGGATGTGGACTAACAAGTCGAACGGGAGCTGCATGACTTCCTGAGCTCGCAGGGTTTGAGACCACTTGTCTGGCTTTGCTGTGAATAGAAGCTTTATGGGCAGAAACCAATAACAGAGGAGTTTTCAGAAAAGCTCTCTGCGGGTCGAGGCAGTCGCACCATTTGAATCTCTGCTCTGAAGCTTTTCATATCTTAAGTGAAATTGCAGCAATTGATTATCCGGCTTTTTGATGCCTTTCTCACATACTGAGCAGAACATGCACACACACAGACACAGTCCTCCTTTAGCTGCACTAATATAAAAACATTCCTGAGATTATTGGTGAGAGCAGAATAACATCAGGATGTCAGAGAGACGTGCTCAGCACAGCGGCCTGCTTTCCTGCTGATGTCACAATAAGGACTCAGCTCTGTCTCCTCTGGGTTCAGCTTAAAGCCCGATCCACGTGTGGTTCCCAGAAACGTATCGTCCAGCTGCAGCTGCTGGGAATGTGTTGTCCAGGCCAGATGTTTATAAGTTAATGAGGCTTCTTAACAGTGATTGTTCCAAATGGTTTCCACGGGCCGGCTGTGCTCCCATTGGACATTTTTACTCCTTGTAGCTCGGGTCAGTGAAAGTGTGGTGTGCTCACAATATTGTAGCATATGCAGTGTCGGGAAAGTTACTTTTCAAATGTATTCCACGTAAACCTGTGACACAAAGATCACCAAACTGAGACCACCACAGACTGTTTTCCTTCACAGTGATGAAGGAAAACGCTGGGCTGGCATGTAAAAGGGCATTTATTCCCTCAGGACCTGAAGCTCCATAAAGCACCCCTCGACAGCCAAACCCACCTGTTCTCTGATTGGATAGTTGAATTTGTGATTGACGTGACATTGGCCAATCAGATGAAAGGAAGAAAAATAGGGTCAAAATTCGTACTTGCAACTTGAAACCTGAGTGCAGAGTTTCACACGTATTTTTCCAAACGCAAATCTGCTTTTACACATACAAAACTGATTTACAGGTGCAAAATATTTATGACCACAATTTGAGCCCATATGATGCACGGCAGGTGACGATCAGTCATGTGGGAATTCTGGGAAGTATTAGAAACATGGAATAAAAGCAGACTGTTTAATTCATGCTTAATTTGACAGCGTTTTTCATGTTAGTTGGCACAACTCTAATGTCTGTGTGTGTGTGTGTGTGTGTGTGTGTGTGTGTGTGTGTGTGTGTGTGTGTGTGCGTATGTGCTTGTTTCTTCCCTCCTGACGTTGTGTTCGTGTCCAGCCTGGCGTTCGGGAATTGTAACGGCCTGGCGGTGGTGGACTACTTGCAAAAAACTGTCATATTATGTATGTCAACACTGGATCTGTACGGAAGCACCGACCCCTACCAGCGCCTTACCCGTTCCCCCCGCAGGAACAGGCAGTCCACCTCAGGTAACACACACACACACACACACACACACACACACCTGATACTCAGTGTGCAACATAATCACGACATCCAGACACTGAATCTGATCTTTTCTCTGCTCCTCTGTCTTCTTCTCTTTCTGTCTCTTCTGATCTAGTGCGTGACAAATATGACAGTTTCAATATATTCCTTCAATATTTAATCAATCATTACTGTTGATCAATCATTACTGTTGATCAATCATTACTGTTGATCAATCATTACTGTTGATCAATCATTACTGTTGATCAATCATTACTGTTCAGGTGCTGTTAACAGTGATGGGAAGTAGAGCATATGTAAGGTAGTATGCACTACTCAGCCCTGACTCTTAGTTTTCATAATATTTTACATTCAGTTACATTATAATTACAAAGTACTTTTATTATTATATAATATATATTAATTGAACATATAAATATCTATTTTAATTTAAAAACAGGCCTCTGCCTGCTGTTGTTTTCTAACGTGTTACTTTACAAACTGCATTCTTATTATTTTACGAACAAAGTTTAACTTCCAAAACTTTTAATGTGAAAACTCTTGGAAACAAAATGTATTAAAGTGGATTTTCTGAAATGATTTCAGGGATTTGACGTATCGAGCCTTTGTTTGTAATGCAGGTGTTTAGTGTGTAATGTAATAACTTTGAACGGGATGGTTCTGCAGTGACCTCGAGAGCTTAATGGACTGAAAATACAAACCAGCTGAAATAAAAACATCTTTAATAAACTGACGTTTTAGGCACAGCATTAAAAACTAGTGAGAATAAGTGGTGGTGTTTAAACTCCTCTCAGCTGACTGGAAACAGAAAATGTGACATTCGCCTCGCAGTTAGCACATCGTTAGCATTCACAGTCGATGAAGTTCGGACAAAACCGTCCGAGTGGGGAAACGAGAGCAGACACAGTAACATCAGACTATCTGTAACACGACGACGGCCTGGATCTTCTGTCCTTCCTCTCTGTCTGTCACACACAAACACACACCTGCCCATCTCTGCCTGTCATAGAGCTGCACTGTGACATGAAGTGCATGTTAACAGGTTGCGTGTCATTCCACATGGGCATCATATGCATGTTGTCATTTGATTTCTCAGTCTGTTGTTTTTAGACCTGTAAGAGCCACACAGGTGTTTCTGGTCCCTCCTCCTGACGGCCTCTGAAGCATCTTAATTATATTTAACGCGCTTGATATTCAGACCCACCGTTTAGGAATCACTGTGTAAAATAGAGGCCGACTCTTTTTTGGACCAGGCACCAACTCGGTGGTAAATATTTCAGAAGAACTTGCAGCAAGTGCTCGTTTCATTGCGTAATTCCCACAGGTGAGCTGAAAATACTCTGGTGATTTTTTCACATGCTGTTGCACCCTGCACCTTCTGTGTGAGCGCTTTAAAATCAATGTGGAGACAGAAGGGAAAATAGAAGCGGGCAAACATGCCCTTTTCTGTGCCGCGGGTGGTGCTGCGCTGATCTGAGGCACTTACTGTGCTCCGGTTCACACAAGGCTCAACAGCAGACTTGGAGAGCACGCCAAAAGGCCGGTGCCGGCTGCCCAGTCTGAACGCTTCCTGTTCCCACCACATCTTTAGCTGTCGTCATCACACACACATGTGTATGAGTGTGAAAGCTTTCAGCCATCAAATGTGGGCATTTACTTCTCAGAATGATGTCACAATGCAGATGATTAAATGACAACGAGCTCGGTTTCCATGCTGCGCTGCTGGTAATGACATGTTCCCTGCTGACCCCAGTGACACCAGCAGTTCTGGGTTTGCTGGAGTCGCGGGTATTTCTTGTGCCCTTCCCTGACACGATCTCACTTGCTGCTTGCTCTCACTTTCTTTTCCTCTCTAAGCCTGTGTGTTCTTCTCTCCCCCCCTGCCTCCTCTCTCTCCCCACCCCCACCCTCCTCATCCACCCCCACCCTCCTCATCCACCCTTCCCTCTATCCTCATGCATTCCTCTCACTAACGTCCCCTCTTTTCTCATTACTGCCATTCTTCCTTTGCCTCCACCCCACTTACGCTCTTCCGTTCTTTGACCTCTCCTCGCTTTAAACCCCTTCCTCATTTCCACCACTCCTTCCTCCCCCTCCTACTTTGGTGACTCTGTGGCTGCTGGTGTGGGCATGCGGGCCTGCCTGACAGAGTTTTGCATGCGCGGCCTGTCTAACTTTTATTCAGATTCAAAGAAAAGGATCCGTACATCCTATCAGAGTAAGTCGGGCCTTCCCAAAGGCCGGGGAGTCGGTGTATGTGTGTGGGGGTGTGGGTTGGTGTTTTGATGGATATAGTAGGACATGATGTTTGGTACAGATGATTGCCACAAGAACTGACACAGACTCGAAGCCCAGGACAAACCAAAGACATGACTGGGATGAAGCGAGACGTCACCTGCAGAGCTTTGTCTGTTACAGTCATGTCCAGCAGTCTGTCCTTTGCAGAAGAAGAGACACTTCTTTGAGACAGCAGAGCAAGCGCAGTTATAAATAATGCATTATCCATGCGATGTATATTTTAACTCTCAGTGTCTTCAGCCATTTGTAAGGTCAGCATAAACTACCGGCATCACCAATGTTTGGTAGAACCTTTGACTGAAGACAAATAATTAAAAGTGTTTTGAGCTGTGACGAGTCTGCGAGGCTGTTAATGAGTCCTTAATGAACGCTGCTTCAAACAGGCCGTGTCTGCAGTCGGGCTTTGAGGGCCGAGTTAGAAATCTCAGTGTTTGTGGCAGTTTTTACAGACGACTCCATGTCGGCTCGTGCTTGCTGCATGTGACTGAATATGATCCTGTTTGGATTTGTGTGTGTGCTGTTTGTATGTTCGATATTTATTCCACTTCATCATGAGATTTGCACTACATGCTTTTTGAATTTTAATGCGAGCTGGTAAAAGATGTTAAATCTGACTGTAGTGCAGGTCGCATCAGTAATCAGCCACTCTGCCCATCAAGGCACTTTGAGTCCTGATAAAAAAGCAAAGAGCAAATATTCGAGGCTGACCTCGGGAGGAATGATGTAATGATGAAGCATTGTTGCTAGCTGCACTCTTTCTTTGGGCTTAGCGTGGCTGACTTCTACCAATCAGACGTCTGCTTAATCTGCATGACCGGCTTCAAATAATCTGACACCCTGCGTGTGCTGCTTCTTCTTCCTGTCGGCTGCTGCAGGCCTTACTGAACTCACTGACAACCAGCAGTCGATTGACATGGAGAGGAACAAGTCGCCCACTTCAGGTAACCTGCTCGCACACTCACACACAGACACGCACCTGCAGCCTCCAATCCTTCATTCCCTGAATGCAAATGTCTTTGAGTCTTTGTGGGTGGGATGCTTTGTGTTTAAACTTGAGTTACAGCCTGTGGTCACCTCGTCACCAGAGCGTGGTCACGTGGTGAGAGCGGCACTCTGTTCACTGTTGTTTCAGAGAAGTGCTGGCACTCCTTCAGTGGAGTATGCTGGGTTTGTCTCAGCTGGTTGGTCCTTTAGTCTGAAGTCGTGCGGTGACCGTGTTTCCCAGAGGTGAAGAAGAAGGAGCGCTGCGTGCTCCATCGGCTCGGTCGTTTCCTTTGACATGTTTGTCTTTCACTAACACTGATACGGCCGACTGCAGTGGAGATGGAGCCTGCATGTTAATGAGCAGCAGTAACATCAGAGTGGTTTAGATTCTCATTTTGTGTCATTGACACTGCATTATTTTTATTTGAAGTTTTTCTTTGAGTTGTAAATTGGCTGGCATGTTATCATTACTTGTAGCAAATACTCGAGAAGAAAGTTTTCACCTGGACTCCTGTGATAAGGTTCACCACAGGATTTAAGTAGCAGCCAGGTCAGCCAATCACTGCACCTGGTTAGCTGATCGTCAGCACCTGTCGAAGCCGAGGTTTTAGCACAACACGTCAGACTCTACAGGTCAGCAGGGTAAATGATGGAAGGGCTGCAGGAGAAAGGACGTGGCAGCACAACTTAGGTTTGCAAAGCTGCACGGGAACAACACATTTGGAGAAGACCAAGCATCAAACCAACTGTCAGCCCCGTGGTGGAGGTGAGGATCACCTGCAGTCACTGAGTGGATTATGAACTGCCCGTCCAACCACTAAAGCTTGACTGAAACTGGGTCGTCAACACCGTTAGCACCTACTCGGATCGACTCGCCGCGGTGTTTAAGGTTTGTTCACTTGGTCATAGTACCTGCTCAGCTGTCATGAACTGGGATTCGCACGAAGGCGGGACCGAAAAGCAGACTCAGCGCACTCACTGAGAACTATAGACAAGATTTATTTACAGAGGGGTCGGTCAAAATCAGAAGCTCATGGAGGGACGCTGTTCTGAGAAGCTGCGATCGAAGCCGTGGGAGTCTGTACCAGAGGGAGGAACGATTAGTGAACAGGTAAGGGAGCAGGTGAATCAGGACAGGGGTGCAGTCGGCTTACATGCAGGGCCAGGTGGGAGAGTTTTGGGCGGTGGGGGTGTTTCTGTGGGAGAAGCCAGAGAGGGTGAGTGCGAGGGGAGGAATGGTTCCTCGAGCACTTCACGAACGTCAGGGATGGCAGGAGGACAGGCAGGCGAAGCAACTGGTTGATGATTCCTTAATGCAAAAGCCAGCGCTGGAGGAGGTGAGCAATGAATCCAGAGGAGGATGGCTCGGAGACCTGAGCCCAAAGAAACAGAGTCAAGGCTTGAAGGAAGAGTGGAGCGCAGACGGGGCGTGGCTGCCACAGTAGGTGACTCAACCAACTGGCGATGAGTAGCAGGTCG